TATTGGACATGAAAATGCTTCAATTGTTGATATCCAGACTGGAATTTTTAAGTAGTGTAATCTTTTAACCTTTTCCCAATTTAATAACAAGCCCCCCCTTTATATAATGTCTTCTGAAATAACCATGTGCTTTAGTTCCCTTATACCATAAAAAAGCATGCCATTCCAACAGTAAATCATGACCTTCTACATTCAATAATCTAGAGTTTTTTAGTGTTATCCACTCCTTAATCCACATCAAATTTGCTGCTTGGTAATGTAACTCCCAATCAGGTAAGACCAATCCTCCTCTAGTTCTAGCACATCTTGTAACAATTTGAGTTTTATTCTTGCTTTTTCCCCTTGCCAAATAAACTTCAAGACTATTTTATTTAGGTCTTGAAAAAAGTCCTTACCCAATCTGATTGCGGTTGTCTGGAACAGGTATAAAATTCTGGGTAAAATGTTCATTTTAATTGTAGAGATTCTTCCTATCATTGATAGTTGTGGGTTTTCCCATTTCATCAAGTCAGTCTCCCAATTGGTTGATTTAGTCTAGTATAATTGTCCTCCTTGAGGGTGCTGCAATCTAGGTGATAAATAAATCCCCCGATATTTAACCTTGCTTGTAGCCTTGCCAGGAGGCTTCTGGGGAGACACGCGGGTCCTTTTCTCGCTGGAACTTCCACAGCTATCCCGCCTGGCGGCCCTTCGACTACTTGAAGCTGGCGACGGGGTCCCCTCCGAAGGCTCTCCAGCGCTGCTTCAGCCAGCCCTGCGCTTCCAGCCTTCCTCGTCCTCAGCTTCCATTCCCACCGCGGGATCCCCCGAGACCCCCACGCCTACTTCCCACCTCCTGCCCGAGACGCCGCCCGAGCCCCGGAATCCCAGCTCCCTCGGCCCTTCTGCGCCCGCAGCGATGCTGCCCAGGCTCCGGCGCCTTCTCCGTCCTCCTGGCCCCCGCAGCGCCTCGGAGGGGGACTCTCTGCGGGTCACATTCCGGCTCGCCCGGGGCTCCCTGGAAGGCCGGACGCAACACCGGAGGGAGAAGCGCTGGCCCAGCCGGGAGCGCATCTCCTGGGTCTCCTGCAGCTGCTGCCTCCCCTTCGGGCTCACGAGATGCCCGGGACCTCCTTGGCCGCTTCTCCGGCTCCCATCGCGCACCCGGTTCTTCCCGGCCTCTGCTCTGCTGCCCGGCGTCGCCTCGCCTTCGGGCAGGGACGGGCAGGGGGGGCCGCTGCGCCCCACGAGCCGGGATGGGCGCCTCCCCCCCCCTCCTCCGCCGCCCCCTCCCCGCTGGCCCCCTGCCCGAAGGCGGCTGGGAGGCGGAGCCAGCGGAGGGGCGGGGCGAGGCGTCCCGTATCCCCGGTTACGTCACCGGCCTCACCGCGCCCCATTCCCTCCCGGCGGCCACCGCGCGCCAGGAGGCGGGCCCGCGCAGGCGCGTGAGGGCCGTGGGGGGCGATGGAGGCGATGGAGGCGGAGGAGGGTCCGGGGCGGCGGGAGCTGCTGGCGACGGTGGCGGCGCAGGAGGAGCAGCTGCG